AGATTTTTGAGACAGATACACATTTAAAAATGTTGCTGTTGCACAGAAATCGGAGGTCCGAACTGCGCGAGCAATCTCATCTCAAAAGGCAGGCGTTCTTCCCCTGTCGGCTAGATCAATGCGGCACCGAGACCGTCTGCCTTATACAGAACGCGATGATTCAGGAGACTATACAGTATGATCGAAAGAAGGCAGTCTGGCCGCTCGATTGACACATTTGATTCCATGCGTTACACGCGGAGTCCTTCCGCGGCAGGAGGAAGGGAGGGAAAGGAGGTGAGCACTACATTTCCCAAAGCGCTTTGTAACGTGGCTTTGCTCGCCTGCGCACTGGGCACCTTACCGTCTCGCCGGCCTGCAGGGAGCGTAGACCCTCAAGTTTGGCTTTTGCGCTTCGAATGTGAACAGAGCAGGGCTTCAGAGCGCCCCCCTGGCCGCCGCAGGCCATGATAGGTGAGTGAGATTCGGATGAAGTCCTCCACCCCCCCCCCATTGTTTTGGGGCGGGGAGGGCGCGAGATGGCGGAAAAGAAAGCGGGACAGTGAGGTGGTACGTCTGCTAGAGTACAGCTGCACCTTTGCATATACGTACGATTTCACAACTCGTGCTTTCAGGTTTGGAAGCAGATACCCCACATTCATTTAGTTCACAGGTTACCCCAGTGCGCACATTTGCAGACTTTCGAGATATTTTGATCTTTTCCGAAGGCAAGATGACAGAGGAGGACAGGGGACAAGAGAAACCCGTGTTTAACTGAAAGCATTACCCTAAAGTCGCGTGAGAGCATTTGGGAGGAGACTGTAGCTATTCAGATTATTTTCTGCATAATGTTGTGGTATCATGTTGCACTGAGCTGTTCTCTTCCTAAAATGATCTAATCCAGCAATACTTCATTGCATGGCTCATTGCACGGGACCTCTTGCTTACAGCAAAAACTGGAAGAGCTCCCATCTGATAACAACACCAATGTTTGTTGACATGCTTGCTGCATGACATTTGTGTCACCCGCCCTCCTTCGGAACTGTTGTGCCTTAAGTATTCCTTGTATCTTGTAAAAAAAAAAAAAAAGTTTTGTTTTGAAGGAAATGAAATGAAACTAATCAGCAGCTAATCATAAGAAGTAGTTGAACTGCAAGTTACTACCTCTCCTTGCTTCCTGCCCTGTTCCAGAGGCTGGAAGGAAGCAGAGAGTTGCGGATGAGAGATTCACTGGACTTTGCCCCTTTATATCTTCAGTTCCTTGGGGAATCGGAGGTAATTGTATGAAGAAAGAAAAAAGGAAAGAAAGAAAGACAAGTGCAATAGTTCTTGTGTCTCCTTTGCTCATCTTTTATATTATATTATTTTTTAATTAGGAAGAATCCAAATCAGCCTTTTTGAACCTGGGGAGGGGCTGTGTTCACATGACACATTGATCAAACACACAAACTTCCCAATCCTTTTTTTGTTTAATGTCATGTGTGAACCCATCTAGATTGGTTAGTACAAAATTCAGTGTATTCTATGAATCCAGAAGATTGTGTTAATTAAGTACAGTAAACCATTTCTGAGATAATCATGGACTCCGTATTGGATGGACCTAGTTGACTTATTTGGCTATAAATCTCTTCATTGAAGTGACTGAAGTAAACCAATGTGGAAGATTTGTATGGAATGAAACAGCCCTAGAAAACATGTCATATTTACAAACACTGTAAATTAATGTGGCAGAAACGAAATGGCTTCTGTAAGAGCCAGTACAGCTGCTGATTTCTGAATAAATTTCTCCCTGTGCTTGATTCAGCTTGATCATCTCTAAATTAAAACCGCCAAACTTTCTCCACAATGGTTATAGTTACATATGATGCTTATCTATGGTTGAGTGTTCACCATGGTTTACTGAATTAATCAGATTGCCTGTGTTCACATAACACACAGAACCGCAAACCAGCCAACCATGTTTTATTGCAGCACATTGTGGAAGCTGTTTTTCTTCCTCCAGCTGATCTGTGTTAAATTTCAAAAGATGGGGACAAAAATCCCAGCTAGCAAGAAAGGTACCATTCTTGTGTTTAAATCCTTGACCACATTAAAAAACCAAATTATCAGTGATAGCTTCAGATCAAGCACAGTCTCACATGAACTTTTTCTGTTCTTTGGTTTGTGACCATAATAAATAAAAGTTTTTTTTTAATTACATAAAGGCAAAACCAATTCTATAACTCACTGTTCACTGTCACTCATGCCATAGTTACTTCCCAATTGATTACTACAGTGTGCTCAACATTGAAGCAGAAGCTTCAACTGGTCCAGAATGCAGCAGCGTGCATGGTTTTGGGCAGCTAAGGTTTACCTGGATTACACTGCCGTTGCGTGAGCTGTACTGGCTTCCAGCTGTTTTCTGGGTACAATTCAAGGTGCTGGTTATCACCTTTAAAGCCCTGCCTGGCACAGGGCCAGGTTACTTGCAGGACTGCCTATTCCCAAGGGCCTCTGCCTGTCCCAGTTCCCTTCTATTAAACAATGTCATCTTGTGAGACCAATTCATTCCAATGAGCTTGCTGTTTAAATCTTCCAAGTAGATTTCACCCAGATAATTTCACCCAAATGCTAACTTTTCATGGTTCACTTCTGTTATTTTGATTCCTGTTATACCAATAAGAAGAATATATTTTCTTTTTCTGCTTTATCCACAGTGATTAAAAAACCCTTCCTTGATAAATTGTGATTGATCTGTATTTAAAAGTGTACTTTTGGATTGAATCATAGATTTGAGATTAATAAGTGATTACGCTAAAGTGGACTGAAATATCTGAAACATATTCAGATCAGCAGCAGTTGTTGTTTAGCAATATTTATTCATTTCTGAATTATGTGTGTAGACCCCGTGGGAACATCTCCCCAAGAAACTGTCCCATATTGATTTGTGGAATATCTAAAAACCTTTTGGAAGTTAAGCTTGCCATAGGGCTACCAGATTTGAGCTGCAAAGGTCTGAACAATCAGATGTCAGCAAAGAATTGTTGTGGTTTGCACCTTACTGCTGCCCTCTTGATCATCTGGGTTTCTGTAACACTGTTTGGCTGTACTACCATGTGGTATCTTCTACAAGTACTGTGGAAAAATTAAATGAGGCCCTTGTCAGTATAATGGCTGCCTTTATTCTTATTTTTGCTACTATCTTGTATTCTAAAGGGAATTTTAAGAAATCTGATTTTCAGTAAAAAGCTTTGTGTATATTTCTGAAGTGTACATATATTGAAATATATCCTTGCCACCTGTTGCATTTAGTTTATTGACTCTTATTGTTATCCAGAATAGAAGTATTCATTTCCTTCTGTATAGCAGTGGAGAAATGTAGACCATCTGCAATCTTATATTAGATGCAGTCATCACTACTTGCTGTGTGCAGTACATCT